CCCCCCCTCCTCATGTTACAATTAAACGGTGCCAGGAATGCATTTCTCCCACTCTTCGGGATGAAGAGCCAGTGGGACTTCGGTGACTGTTACTTTTACCGCATTAGTTTCTGTTCCATGCCCTTAGGCGACGAAAAAGTTCGTTTCCAGAGCTGACCAAATGGAGGGTAAAAGTGAAATTTCTTCAGCACTTTTGCAAGATGAATTGGACTTGGATGACCAGGAGGATGCTGTTGCTAGATGTTCCGTGCAGTGCTGCTGCTGCTGCTGCATGCAGACATATCTCGATGGCTGCATCACTATGCTCACGTTATGATCCGAAAGTATTCCGCGAACCGATCGTCGATCTTGAGCAGGTTAATTTCATTCAAATTCATTCCGCATCGAGGAATTGCAGCCCTCCACAGGATCGGCGCAGTAATTAAGGTCCAAACGGGAGCGTGAAAATTTGGGTTATTAAATTTAAGGTTAAGTGAAAATTTCGGCGAAAAATGTAGAAATGGTTGATTAAACCTTTATATAGAAAAAAAAAAAAAAACTCCGCAAATACAGACAATATTTCGCTTTCAACAATGAAAATTCACAAATCACTCTTAACCCCTTTTCGAATATCAACAAACAAAATTTGAAGATTCATAAAAATCTGAAGTAGAATTTTTGCGAATGGAGCAGTGGGGCTAGCCTGAAAGCAAACAATTAACCCTCAGAAATGAGGTCCATTCATTCGTAAGCGTGGTACCCGCGTACGGGCCATCCAAAATTTTTCTCGTGTAAGTTCATTTTTCTCGTATAAGTCCGAAATGTGTTAGCATATTTCCAAGGAATGAGAGAAAAAAGATGATCAATTGATCAATGATCAATTGATCAATTGTAAGTGCAATTCAGCAGTGTATGTATGTTGGATAATCTTCAAATAGCGGGATGTTTCTGACCTCAGACATTTACTGAGGTTATGTTGTCTCGCTCTTCTACCTATCTCCTGTTTGAGTAAATTAACGATGAATAAAAGCAATTGTAAACCTTAAACGAATGGAAATTGTCAAATAAAAACCCATCGTCGGTAGGGCACTCCTCTTTTTCATGCTTAGACGAAGCTGAGAACGAATAAGTTCGATTGGATTTACTCAAAAATTTTACACAGAAATTATAAACTACCTCAGTCTTTTCAAAGACTGGTCAAGCGGTCATTTTTTCTCACATGGCCACCACCCACTGATATACGGCGGAAACAACTTTTAAGAAAATGGTAATCATTCGTACGGGAATTTCCAGTTGCATCAGATTCCAGGAATAAAGGTGCCAAGAGCCACAGAATCTCTTTTACCCGCTGGACTGTCGGAAATATCAAAAACTAATTTGAGCTCATAAATTAGTTAATAAAAATTTGTCGAAATTGCGTGTTGCAGTTAAATCAACCGCTAGATCCGGATGATGATCGCAAATATTGCTATATAAAAGCGATGACCAGTACTCAGTCGCCAGTCTTCTACCGCAATGCCCTTATCAATAGGATTATCAATGTTTGTATGTTACGCGGAATGAAAGGTTCGCTTAGCATTGATTTTTATCCATTCGTTGTTCAAATGATCCTTAGCCTCCTCTAATTTTGCCCTTTTTTCTTTCGAATTTTTTCTTTTTGAACGATCCTGTATAGCCATCGTGACTTACGGCCGGATTCAGGCTGCATTCACCTCTTTCTTGACGCAATGTTCCGTTGGATTAACCACTCAGAAAAGTTCCCTGTTGATTTTCGATTGATTCGGTTGATTTTTCACCAAAATTAGCTAGCTAGCCAGCAAAAAAGTTGCCAAAGTCGGCTTTTCCCAGCACGTTCTGCAGAATAATATGCGATCCCGATATGGCATATGCTTGGTGTTAATTCTTTGTAAATGAAACAAGCAGTACTGCAGTCATTTCACTTTAACAGAGCGCTTACGGTCATCAGAAGTGACCATAGCTAAAGGGCTTGTTACTGTGGGGACAGATGGATTTGTTGATTTTTTATGAAAATTAAAAATTCCTATGTTTTCAGGCACTTTTTTGGCAGCATCGTAGAGTAAGCCGTTGATCTCGTAGTTTATGTGTCCATCTCTTGTTTTTTTCAGAGAAAATGCGAGATATTGTTCTTGAAGCCCTCGAAATAATGAAGAGGCGGCAGTACAAGCTGTGGCGCAGTGCAAGCGATGAGGAGAAAAGCGGTATCGAACTCGATCCTGTTGTGATCACCCAGAAAGCAATCAAAAATTGCTGCCCAATAATGATTTTACGCCCATTCGTTCGTGGTTCGTTTCGTAAATTTCAACTGAAAAAAAAAAAAAAAAAACTTTTTTTGATATTTTCCATAAGAGGAAAATCGTACTTTACATTTTTAAGATCAAATTTGTGCTGATACATTTTTCTTTCGTCCTTACTGCCACCTCCCAATAATCCTCTTATTAGACTCGCTAAACCTGTGGGCGATGTAGACATCTCCTTGTATGGCATTATCGATTGTTTCCTGTACAATCGTCTCTTGATAGGCCTTATGGGAAAGCGTAGAAGAATTTGCTAAAAAGTGAACCAGAGGACCACAGAAGCAGCTAGGGGATACTTTACATCTAGTAGTTTGTCCTTAAACAAAGAAAAAAAGTAGGAAAATGGACTGTAAAAATAATTAGCACGACAAAAACTGCTCATTGGCTTAGCGCCCATATATTTTCCCCAGTGATGCGGCTTCGTTCACGGTATTTTCCAGCAGACTTGCTAAAAACGTCCAGTACCAGCTGGTCACTACTGATTATCACTACTTGGACGGGGTACATTCCCTTAAAATTTCAGCTTTCTAGCTTTCCTGGTTCGCTAGTTATTAACTCACCCTAAAACAATTTTGGCGGGCTCTTACGCGGGTAGGGCCGCCCACTTTGGGGATGAGAATACGGGACATGTGCACATGTAACTGATGTTATTTAGGTGGACAAACCTACATGGTACCATGTCCAATTTCGGAGCAGCATGCCGAATTTCGAGCAATAAAAACAATGCGTGATATTTGCCGGAAAAAAACCTTCCACGGAGCAACACATTTCCAGCATATTTTAGCCGAGGAACTGTTGGCCGCCTACAGAAATGAAGGCCTAACTGTACAGGCCAAGCAGGAGCTGCATAAGCAGTGCGAAGCGAACAGAGCTTATGTTCATTACAGGAGGCAGTAGAGTACGATTTCTGTCATGCTGATTCGTTGTTTAGTTTTGTTTGTCATCCTCATCCTTCCAGTGCATGCTACTACTGAAAGAGTTGATCGAATGGGCCGATAAAATATGAAGAATTCTGCTTGCAAATCATGCAATCCAAATTCAGCTAGCTGGTTCTAAATTACGGGAAAAAAAACCTGAAAATCCGAAATCGATGAACCAGGAAAGGCCAGTGC